TAATCGCCGTTATCTTGTTTTTTGAGCAGAGCTCAGACTTGAGAACTAAGCGAACTCGGCGATAGACCTTGAGTGAAGAGGAGCTTTTCAGTCTTCCATTTCTTCATTGTAGCTTCCATGAACTGAATGATAGTTGGTGACACACGGTAGATTCTCATGACTGCGGGAATCCGGGACTGTGGGAATGCAGGAATGTGAGAATGCAGGACTGTGGGAATGCAGGAATGTGGGAATGCAGGAATGTGGGAATGCAGGAATGTGGGACACTGTCAAAGGCTTTCTTATCATCAATAATCCATTCCTAGGTTCCTCTTCATTATTATTATTATTATTATTATATAATATAATAATACTAATAATAATAATGAGATCGTAATTAGCAGGATGCGGAATACTATGGCGAGAATTGTGCCAGCTAGTGGTGGTTGGAGCCCTTAGCTCTATAAAGAATGGTCTTGAGAAGAACCTTAAGGAACTCCCTGGCAACCACACTGCCCAACAAGTGCAAAAAAATCACACTACTGGGAACAGCACACATCCTGCTCAAAATTCTGAATTGAATCCCTATGTCCCAGGTTGGGACTCAGAAGCCACCGGCCAATGCCGTGATCCACTTTGGAAATAGTATAATATTAATAACAATAATAATCACCATAATAATAATAATAATAATAACCATACTAATTTTTAAATCTATACAAATATTTATAATATTTTTGTTAAAATCTTCATATTTCATGATATAATAATTAATGAATATCAAAATGTTATTATGATAGTATTCAGGATTCAATCTGTTCTGATCCAGATTGAGATACGGCCAACCCAGAAGCCACCGGCTAGTGCCGTGATCCACTTTGGAAATAATATTAATAACAATAACAATAATATTTGGAAATACTGCCATCTCTACAACATGCAAGGATTCACAGTCCTATTGAATTTACTGAGAACCCTGTGGCGACGTGGTGCGGTTAGAAATGCCAATATGTAAATATATATATATATTTGTATATATATGAATATATATATACATATATTTATTGTATGAATACCTGCGACCAATAATCTCCGTGTTCGTTCGGACCTCCAGGTGATCTGGACATCCCACCTGCGGAAGCGGGTTTCCGGCGCTATCCACGTAATAGGCTGTGCTGATACTCGTCAGTCGGACTGTTATGAAGCTGTTAGCAGGCGACTGGAAACGTAATATATACTTAATTAAACACACATGTACATGCGTGAACAGTAATTAGTCTGTAATTAGTAGTGTGTTAGTTAAAAACAGCACTACATCAGGGGGTGGGGGGTAAATGAACGATGTGCTGAGATTTGCAAGTCGAAGCACAGAAATGACGTCTTTGGCGTGCGACTATAACATAGTAATAGTAAAACTAAATACATAGCATGTTAAATGTCGTAAATTACTAAATTGTAAATAGTAAATATAGTAAATTTAGTAACGCAAAAATTAGTACATGATATATAACTATCATAACATCACGTGTAAGCAACGTGTTACGTATATCTAACGTATTTTTCACGACCCTATTTATTTATTTTATAATGGGCATATAACTACTTTTGGGTTGACCTTGTCCCAACCTGGGACATAGGGATTCAATCCAGAATTTTTCGCAGGATGTGTGCTGTTCCCAGTAGTGCAATTTTCTGCACTTCTTGGGCAGTGTTGTTGCCAGGGAGTTCCTTGAGGTTCTTCTCAAGACAATTCTTTATGAGCCAAGGGCTCCAACCATCACTGGCACAATTCTCGTCTTAGTATTCCACATCCTCCTAATTTCGATCTCCAGATCTTTGTACTTGGCGGGTTTGTCTCTCTCCTTCACCATGATGTTAGGGTTGGGGTTAGGGTTAGGGTTAGGGTTAGTATGTTATGTAGATGTTAGTAACATCTGGTACGGCTACGTCAATCAGCAGGCATCGTTTTTCTTTCGTGTTGTGGAGCACTATATCAGGGCGCTTTGCAGGTATCGTGCGATCTGTCTGCCATATCCCACATTATGGTAGTATCTCCGATGTTGGTAACTGGTCTCGGAGTATGTTCATATACCACTTGTCAGGTACCTGCTCACCAAGTTCACTGCAGATTGCCCAGTGCAGATAGCTGGCTACCTTGTTATGGCGGTCTATGTACTCGGTTGGGGCCAGCACTGTGCATCCGGCGATGATGTGGCTGATGGTCTCCTTTGCTTTGCTGCATATTCTGCACTTACTGTTGACCTGTTGCTTGAGGATGTTGCGTTGATGGTATCTGGTGTTGAGTGCTTGGGTCTTGGGCTGCAATAATCAGGCTTTCTGTCTCCCCCTTGAGCCCAGAACTACTCAGCCAGGCAACGCTTGCAATCTTGTCGACAAATGGTCTGTCGAGGCTTTTGTAGAAACTTCCATGCAAAGGCTTGTTCTTCACTACCTTGATATTCTCCGCTTCCATATTGGCCTCCAGTCTCTGCTTTGTTGAGGATTGGCTGGTGGGCTGAAGAGACAAGTATTTGGCTTTGATTTCTTTAGCCTAACGTAAGAGAGCGTGCTTTGATTTTCCAGACTGATGGATTTTGACAAGCTTTGTAAATTTGTCTTCGTTAAGCCTGATGTAGTCGCCTAGACCTACAATGGCAGTGTTGTTCGGAGACATCAGTTCAATGAGACCACGACCACCATTTTGCCTCTTGTTGTACAGTTGCTCTACATCTGCTTTTGGGTGATGGAGCCCGTGCATGGTTAGTAGCTTTCTTGTCTTGCGATCCATCCTTTCGATATACGATTGCAACCAGTTGATTACCCCGAAGCTGTACACGGGGACCGGGAGTGCCAGGCTATTAATCGCCGTTATCTTGTTTTTTGAGCAGAGCTCAGACTTGAGAACTAAGCGAACTCGGCGATAGTACTCACTTGCAATGTTCTCCTTT